ACCCAAACAAAAAAAAAAAAAAAAAAAAAAAAGAGTTTGAGCTGGCAAAATTGTTTTTGTTTGTTTGCTTCAAAATCATTTGTTGGAGAAAAAGTCATAGGATAATTCCATAAAATCACAGAATAAAACCATAAGTCAAGAGAAAATTGCATAAAGCATATTGTTATTCAAACACCAGTAGCTCTACAACTTGAAGATCTAATTTTTCTCATGCCAATGTAAACAAAAAAGAACTACTAATGAGATCCATTGCTAGATGATTCAATATTCCTGTAACATCAACAAGAGTAATAGTACCAAAAACAAAAAACAAAAAACAAAACAAAAACCCCTCAAGTTTGCCACCTGCTGGCTTGTATATGATACAAGCAAATGTGTGGATAGCATCAAAATAATTCTTATTAAACTCTTAATTACTACTAATATGAAAGTCTTCATAATTGTTCTCTTTAAGGATTTAAGCACTGTCGATAAATATTCAAGAATTCTGAGGTACCCATTCATCATTTTACTCAAACTAGTTTATAGAAATTTTAATATCTGGATAAAAGAAAATTTAGGAGTTGAGAGACACAATACATGTGTCTCTCAACAAAATTATCAATGCAGTCACTAATAAAGCTAGTTGTTGGAAAGGCTAAAAATTTTTGTTTTTTCTTGTTTATTTGCTTAAGCTCCTTATAAATTCTGAATATTGGTCTTTTGTTGGATGCATACTTTGTAAATATTTTCTTCTATTCTGTAGGCTGTTTACTCTCTTGATGATTTCTTTTGCTATGAAACTTTGTAGTTTATTTTTTATTTTTTTAAATCAATATTTTTTATTTTCAAATTGTGGGGTACAGTTAAAGGTTAGGTATACAAATATGCATCGTTCAGGCACCCTTGTTGATAAGGGGTGTCTCCCCCTTCCCAGACAGGTATTGACTACCGTTAATCCCACCTCCCTTCCCTCCCATAGTTCCCACCACTGTCAATCCAATTATGATAGATGTTCAAGGTCTGCTATAAGAGTGAGAACATGTGATACTCAGACCTTTGTTTCTGTGAGAGATCACTCAGTAGTATAGACTCTAGTTCCATCCAGATTGCTGCAAAATTCATGATTTTGTCCTTTTTTATGGCTGCGTAGTATTCCATCATGTATATGTACCACATTTTTAAAATCCAGTCCTCTTTTGATGGACAGCATGGTTGGTTCCAGGTTCTTGCTATTGTGAACAAAAGTATTTGCCAACTCCAGGTCTGATAAAGGCTTAACATCTTGGATCTACAAGGAATTCAAACATGCTGAAAAGAAAAAAAAAACCCATTATAAAGTGGGCAAAAGATATGAACAGACACTTCTCAAAGGAAGACATCTGAGCAGCCAACAGACACACGAAGAAATGTTTAAACTTTGTAGTTTAATTAGGTCCCACTTGTCAATTTTTGTTTTTACTGAGTTTTCTTTGAGGACTTAGTCATACATTCCCTTTGTTTACGCTGATATCCAGAACAGTATTTTTTAGGTTTTCTTCTAAGATTTTTATCATTTGAGGTCTTGCACTTAAGTTTGTTATCCATCTTGAGTTAAATTTTATATATGGTGAAAGGTAGTGGTTTAGTTTCTTTCTACTTCATATGGTTAGCCAGTTTTCTCAGCACAATTTATTGAATAGGAT